ATGCAAACCGAATATTTCACACTGCATATCTCTGGAAGTGTTCATGGTAGAGTACTTGAACATGGTATGGAAATATGAGAAATCACTCCCATACTCTTAGAAAAAATTGCGTCTATTTTATAAGGGGGGTACGGCGCCTTTCAAACGGTACTGAAGCTATTACGTATCTTTGTATGCATAAAAAATTTTGCTAAGTTATTTAAGATGGTAATGGAAATATGCCTTCCGACAACCACGAAACCGTAATATTAGAAGATAAACGCGTCACTGAAAATCATGGACGTGAACTGTTGGTGAAAATGTTGTACCAAAATGTTTCAATACAAAAAATTAATTTTGGGCGGGACGAAGTTCGCCGGGTCTGCTAGTAATAAATATATTTTTTTACGTTACAAACTTATCATTTACTAGATCGCTCTCACCCGCTTCGCTGAGTGTATGAAATTTCTACGTGCTACATTGAGTAAAATTTATTTCAAGAAAACTCAATTAAAAAACAGAAGGTTTAAAATTTGTTTAACCATCTTCAAAATAATTTCAAACTACATAAAACTTTCTTTCTCAATTATCATACTTTTTTAGTTAACTTATCCCCTGAACTCAATTTGAGATTTTAAATAGATGCGGACCCCTTACATGTAGTTTTGATACCCATATTGTAATAATTCATTTAAATTATTAATAGTTTGAATTTAACCTTTTAAACAGTTGGCAACATTTTGAAACCTGTTTCGTGTGACACTCATACATATTGTGATACATATTCAAAACCATTTCGATTCATACCAATCTATGCTAATATATATTTTGAAAGCCGTTTTTTTTGTGTTCGCAAAGCTCGAGAACGGCCGAACCGATTTTTTTGAAATTTCAGACACCGGCTTCAGACGTCTCAGTGATGGTTATAGGCTAAATTAATGATTATAAGCTATTTTTTAAATTTGGCTATGTATATTGGATTTCTGTAGAGCAATTATACGCATCCATTTTGAAGTTGCCACCAACTATACTAAAAGTTTCTGCAGCTTTACAGCTTTTTTAAGGTTCTTAACATCATTTTTTTAATATCTATAATTTTCAA